AAACAAACACATCCTAAGGAAGGTCTTTCTGTTTATATATTGTACATATTTTTAAATTTATAATTATAAACAAACACATCCTAAGAAAGGTTTTTCTGTTTATATATTGTACATATTTTTAAGGAATTTGAAATAGTATTTTCAGCGTCTCAGTACTGATTGAGATACTTTTACTTCATAGTCGTTAGCTGAAGTTTCAATTAGCTTTTATGTCATCTTGGGTTCTCCATCGTTACTCCATCGTTTCCACATTTATACTTAACTCTGTAGGGGAATAGGAAGATCATCTAAAAGTACTATCACACAAATTACCGACACCCTTCAAATATAAACCTGCCAGAGAACTTTGAAATGTTAAATGTGCAAAGGTATATGAATCTCTTTACGTCCTGTGTGTAGAAATAGGGCTTATATTGTCATTTTGTTTCGTAACACAAAACTTTGATGGTCTTTCTATGTTTAAAAATACTATTTTTAACCTGGTTGTTTAAATAATGAACAAGTCTTGCCAAACATCAAATAATTACAAAGCAATTACTAGAATCAATAAAACTCAACAAAGACATACTCTTTAGTCTCTTGGCTCACGATCACTTTCCGTCCCAGGAGTGTTGGTTCTTCACAAAGACATGTTGGGACGTTTGGATCGCCGGCCAAAACTGAGACCACAGTGACAAAAAGAATAGCGATGCCTAACAATTTCTAAAAAAGACAAAAAAAAAACGGAAAAACAAAAATTAAATCAATTTAAAGTTTCAGAATCAGAGAATTTTAGGTATATCAGTATTTGGTAATTTAAACTTAACGATATCTTATTCTACGTTCGATCTATACACGCCATTTTTTCCAGTGAGCACTATTTACGAGGCTTATCTGTTAATTGAACGTTACTTCTACTAGTGTAGATATATGAGCTGTTTCTGGACGTGTTAAAATGTATTACGACAAAAAACGATTTCCACTTGTTCACAAATAGAATCCACATAATAATAATAATGATAAGTTAAAGCTATTCAAGATACTTAAGATTGTGTAAAACACACGCGCTAACTATATACAATTTCCTCTCATTTGGGAATACGAGTTTCTATTTTGTTAATTGAGCCATTACTTGATGAATATTGTCATGGACTGTTCATCCATTACATGATGAATATTTTCATGGACTGTTCATCCATTACACGCTGAATATTATCATAGACTGTTCATCCATTACTTAATGAATATTATCATAACTGTTAATCCATTACTTAATGAATATTATCATAACTGTGAATCCATTACTTAATGAATATTAGCGAGGACTGTTCATTCATTACTTAATGAATATTATCGAGGACTGTTCATTCATTACTTAATGACTATTACCACAAACTGTTCATTCAAATTGTTAGCAGCTGTAAAAAGAAATAGTAATTTTCTGTATCTATTAACTGAACACTTATGTATCTAATCTAACTACAATACCATTAGGTAAAATAAAGTGTTTGTCGTGTAAATTATTTTAAATGCAAAGATTTCTAACAAAAAAAAAATAAATGAAAAATTTAGGACACATAAAGGAACAAAAAAAGGACCGTCTAGTTTTGTGATAAATAATAATATGATTGATAGAATTATCTTGATATAACTTTTATTAATATTTATAATAAAAGTTCATAAAGGCCTAACTGTAATGCAAAATTCCCTTAAGATATTTTCTTGTTTTCCATATTCTAATACTATTGTTAATAATTGTTTTCAATATTCTAATACTATTATTAATTTTTTCAATATTCTAATACTCTAACAAGTAGATTTTCAATATTCTAACAAGTGTTTCCTATATTCTAATATTATTGTTAACAAGTGTTTTCTATATTCTAATACTATTGTTAACAAATGTTTTCTATATTCTAATACTATTGTTAACAAGTGATTTCTATATTCTAATACTATCGTTAACAAGTGTTTTCTATAAGAGGAAGATAAGGGGGAGTAAGGGTGATAACTGACTATTGTTGGATATCCATAACCTTTCTAGAGTGAATGGAGAGCCAATAACGTACTTTTTATAATGTCGATTGTCATATCTGTGTGAATCTTTTTGTACGCGGAATTTTCGACTGAGATAAATAGAATAATTGTGAAAATAAAACGACAAATAAAAACGTTGCTTGATTTAGAAACTAAACAGATGTTTGTCAAACCAGATTAAAAATACGACAAAAACTGTGAAAAAGCACCGATCACTTAGTAAAGAAACTTGAAGATCGTTAGGTGATAATAAAAATAGTCGCACGTGACCAAGTGCTAAGCATATCTAGACTATGAAGTCAAAGATTAATTGCATGCAATACGTTGGTGCAAAATGATGCTCCGTATTTTGGAACAGTGGGTACGCTGTACGAGTGACCATAGAAACAATAGAAGAATTGGCCATGATGCTGCCTTTTATCTAGTCTATCAGCTCAAAATTCAGGATGTCATTGTGTAACTTTGGGTGAAAGTTAGGAACAAACTAATTAATGAAATAGATTTAATAATAGAAAAGTACACAAAATACGAAGTTTGATATTGAAAATTTCTTCATTAATGATATTCTTCTGCTAATCTACCTACATACATATGAGTTAGTTTTGTATACTTATCTCTACCTTCTCCATTCTGACGTCAGCTTTCTTCTTTCTCTAACAAGCCTGATAAATACACGTGAATAACAGAGCCTTTTTATACTATTCTCTAATCTAAAGATCCACACATGTTTCTAAGAATTAGCTGATCCTTTAAATTGGACGGAAAGCCTTTGTTAACCTAGTCTGGGAGGAGCTCATAATGATATTTCATAAGAAACGTAGAGATAACTGGTTATGTGTAATAATAGATTATTTAAAAACGAACTAAGGAAAAACTGATGCAATAAAAAATTCTCAGAAAGCCATAAATTATATGTGCAATTCATTCTACTTGATCCCCCAGTGGCACAGCGGCATGTCTGCGGACTTACAACTCTACAAACCGGGTTTCGATACCCGTGGTTGGCAAAGCACAGACAGTTCATTGTGTAGGTTTGTGCTTAATTACAAACAAACATTCTATTGGCCATTTCATGCGTTGTTAATGTCCAAAATTTAAACTTTACCATTCAGTATTAAAAACCTCTATTAGGAGAAAATAAAAACAAGAAACTGCTAAAAATAGTTCAAAATATATACCTTAAGCACATAAACACATACACATAAAATCCAGTATTATACAGAAATAAGTTCCCAATATTAGTTATTTAAAACATAAATAAATGAAAAACAGTGAGGACATCGATTCAAAAAACAACAAGTTTGATACCTTTGCTACATTAAACCACAAATTTAACTTTCTAATTATGTATATTTTGAATTTTTTTTCTTCGGATAAACTGTGTTTTTGTTTTAGCCCAAAGGTCTCTTCACCGCAGGGAGTTTTAAAGTTGCAAGTCCATAAACTTACCGCTGCCCCACTGCAGGGGCAGAAAATGAAAGTTTTTTAAGAAATTGTATAATGTGAAGTATTTGTGTTTCTAATACACGTAAATAAAATACGAGATACGACTTAAACCGACGTAGAACGAAGGTCAAAAAGTGACCCTACAGAAGATAAAAGATTCGCACAGCAGAGAATTTAGGACAGCCGCCAACTCAGGCCAACGCTTTCATCAGGCTGTAGTTAAAAAAGAGAATCTTTCGGCTTAGAATCTCCTACCAGCAGCTCACACCGCTAAGAACTCTTTGTGGGCAGAACACAGATAGCCCATTGGGTAGCTTAGCAACGAAGAAAGAAACAATCGATTTAGAAAATCATTGCGATGAAGCTGGACATATTTCTAATAATATAATAAGCCAAGATTTGAAGCCGAAGAGGGCTTACAAAGAACATATTCATAAGATATTTCATGAGAAAGTTGCCAAAACAACTGGTAATTTGTAATTTCAGCCTGAACACAACTGTGTGCGTCACATGGACCAAATAGCCGTGTCAGATACCCCAAGATATCGCTCGATTAATCACTCGGTAACACTCGATGTCCAAGTTGAAATCATTGAAAAATAATAGCAGGACTATCTGGCACAGGTACAACGTTCCTACATCTTTCGTTTGTTTGTTTTAAAATAAAGCCGCTTTAGACTAGCTGCTGTAACCACTGCGAGGTATCGAACACCGGGCGTTAACGTTGTAAGTCCGTAAACTTGTAAACATGTACAGTACCTTACCATGATTCGGGCCTAACTGTTAGCCATATCCAACCGCAATAAACCTGAATTATAAACCAAATTCTTGCTAATTACACCAGTGCAAGTTAAGTTGGCCTTCGTTCTTTTGGTCTATTTAAATGTGGTCTTAAAAGCCGAGATCCACGTAAGTTGAAGACCTGTGGAAAGTTTGTGAAGATATGAGGTCTAAAGTTAACCTCCAGTCCATCGTAAAACTTTGTTATAATGCACATAACAATATTGAACATTTATGTGTTAGCACGCGTTTAGCAAAATCGACAATGGGGGGGGGGGAGAACTCCAATGTTGTTCTTTTAAATTATGATCAACTTTAGCAGCTTATCATTGAAAAATTATCCAATATGCCACTCAGTTGGGGTTCACAGTAAATAACTAAACGAAAATACTGACACTAACCACCAATGAATTCATAAGAAGCGAATTTTCTGATGGCGTTTACAAAAAAACAAAAAAAAATCTTTAACCAAACGATTACAACTACTAATAACCAGTAAACCTAACAAAAAATATTTGATTGTTGAAATTTTGGTTTAGTTAACATTCTACGAGACGTAACAAGCAGATCTAATCTCAACAGATGGATAAACATAATTCAAAACTAATCTTCAATATCAGTATTAATCCGTATTAAGCATTATAGTTTATCTGATAATCCTCTCACCAAATTAAGTGTGCTAAATGGACAAAATGTTAAATCTTGAGATTAGAATTTAAACCTAATATAAACCTTTCAGAAAATGATAATATAATTCAATCCATAAAATCTAGAGGATATCAGTTCTAATTGTATTGAAGAAATATATTGGTATCCTGTATGTTTGGTTAACATATCTAATATGAAATAAAAATGTTGCCTGTGTTTTGACAGCAGTCGTATTTCATTCGATTCAATTCTTTAAAGAATTGAACTTTGTCAAGAACATTTACAAAACTGCGTAACTTCGAGAAACAAAGTATTTAATTTAGTAACATAGGTAATAATGTTATTTATATGCTATTTATCGATAAAATTATCGGTTTATTGTAGTTACGTTTACATACACCTATCTCATTTTAGGAACCCTAGCGAAAGAATAGCACGAATTGTTTATCGAATAAATATCCCTCGTAACGTGTTTTGTATGTTATGCATTTCGGATCGTCCATTATGATACCGCAAGTCTTTGAAAAAAAAACTTCGTCTGTAATTCAACACATTTCTATCGTAATCAGTTTATTTATTTTTTTTATAACCTAACTGTTTATACCATCTTTTACTTAATAGCCTGTACTTAATATCAAATATACTTAATATCAAATGTGTAGTCTGCACTGTTAGCATAGGAAATCATCAGAACAGATGCTCTCTGAATCCCCGATAAAAAATCCTCCACGTCTAATGAAATGGGGTTCGTGGTTCAGAGTTAATTTTTTGTATGTTTTGAAATCTCGTTCATTTCAAAAAAAATTTCAAACAGCCTATTGTTGTCAGTTTCTACTTGATTAAGCGAAAGTTTTCATGTCAAACGGTTTTCTTTAATAAAAATCAGTACATTGTCTTTAAATGCTAAGAAAATAAGAATTATAAATGGAATCTCATCACTTCATCTCCTGGGTATTTCTAAGAAACTCAATCTGACCCGATGCCTGCGGCCACAGATAAGTATGAAAGGAAGCTCGTGCCGGATGTGAATTTAGGCACGTGCGGAGTGCTGTGTTATGTGAATATCACGAACTTTCTCCGACCCAAAAGTCTTTGAAAAGAAAAAATTCGAAGCTCTTCTCACACATTATAAATGTGGATAAATGAATCAGTTTAATTTAAACTGCCCAACTCTGTTCATGTTCCATTTAGTTTAGTTAGAGAAATCGTATATGTTAGAGGAAACATTCCGTGACTATATTAAAAACAAGAAGAACAGATTAGCTAGCCATTACCGCAATAGCTTGACATAAACTAACAAAAAACATACATAATAATGTTTTCTTCGAGGAAATCATAATTTGATGTTTGTATTTTCTCCTTGTTTAATCTAACTATCATGTGATACAATATGCAGGTTTAGCAAGTCGTAACATGAAACATATTTTTCCTAATTAAGTTGTTAATTAGCTGATAACTCCTCTCCATGACAAGCTGATAGATGTATTATTCGCAACAGATGCGGAAACTAAAGTTATACCCTGGCTACTATTAACAGTAAATGTTAATTCATAGTTATGATAAGATATAAATGATATAAGGTCCTAATATGAAGAAATTTACTTAAATTTAGCACTAAACTTTGACGGGATACTACCTGTGAATAGTTTCTTTTTACGGTGCACTTTTTAAGGATAAGAAATGGAAATAAGATTGATCAAAGGTTCAAACTGGGATCATTGTTTTAACAATACACCTATCGTTTTTCTTTTCATGCGATTAAATATAATTGTTCGCGATCTATAATTGTAATTTAAGGACAGAATAGATTACTTAAAAACAAGGACAATCAGAAAGATTCCATACCCTCGCCCCGCCACAAATTTTTTGATTTTTGGTTTGAATGTGCGCCTGTAATTCGGTCCTAATCCGATCACTTTTTACACAGCTATTATCAACAAACTGAGAAAATGCTCTATATCTCCATTATAAAAAAAAAAATGTTTCAAAGTGATCCAGATTTTAAGAAGACCGTCCCAAAATTCAAGTAAATCAGTTTATTATTTTTCGAGGGGGGGGGTAACACAATAGATAATTGAATGTGTATACTGGTTTTGATTAATTGATTCAACTCAAACTAAAGTCTACATAAACTGGATTCTGTTTGTCCAACTCTTATCTTGAATACAAATATTTATTCACGTTGTGCGCTTGCGAATATGTTTGTTCGACGGTTTTTCAGCTAGGGAGATCAAACTGCGCAGGCTTGACACGGAGTGGCGCGAATGTGTGTGTCCTTTATATGTATATCGTGGTCCCCTACCCTTATTCATTTGAGATGCAAAATGGGGGGTTGCTAAAATACGCTCGGAAGATCACCAGTGCATTATTTCGGGACCCCAGGGGCGACCTTTTTGACACTGCGTTGACACTGTCACTCACAAGCTAGCCGGGACCAAACATGCTGTGCCCGGCATGGCCAGGTGATTAGGGCGCTCGACTCGCAATCTGCGGGTCGCGGGTTCGAATCCCCGTCCCACCAAACATGCTCGCCCTTTCAGCCGTGAGGGCATTGTAATGTGACGATCAATCTCACTATTCGTT